TGCCAGAGGGGTGGTGTGGCCATTCAGATATGCCCCGGAAGCTGTTGAGTGCTTCTTTTAAGTGAAAAAGTGAAAGTTCTAGATTTAACAATGAAAGAAAAAAATTGCACTCCAAGTTTGCAGTAAGATATTTTGAGAGAGCTCACATACACAAACTTTTATTACAGTAATATTTTTATCATTGTTCTAGCTCATTTATTTATTTATTGGAGAGGTTTTTGCTGTAGGGCACATGCACACTTGCAAGAAAGACGCAGAGAGACAGACAGACAGAAAGCGAGAAATCACCCCCCAGGGGGGATGGCCACGCCGCAATCCCTTCTCCTCCATTCTCCTCTCAGGATCTTGGGCACGCATGCACACGCGCCTGGCATGAGTTTAAGCCACCAGATCCAGGACTTGATCTGCTGTCAGCTACATAAGAGTCCATGGCCACATTGTTCAGTAGACAATGAGCTCCTCGAAGTAGAATTCGTGCATAGTTTTCTTTACAGAAGATGTGTTCTAAAAATATTAAACAAAAAAAATGCGGGGAAAAAAAAAAGAGTAAGTTCTAATCCCAAAGCATTTTCAGACCTGACAATAATCTATTCCAAATTGCCCTTCAGGGAAGGCGCATGCTGTCGCTGGAAGCATTTTCCATCTTTAGTGGATAGGGCCAACTTCATTCCCTGGTGATACCAATATGGCCCCTGTCATCAGCCTGCAAACCCGCTGGCACTGAAAATACATAAAGTGTAAAGCTTATTTATGACGCGGAGAAGGTGAGTCAATAGACTCTGTTCCAAGCTGGCAAGCAAAGACACAGTCTTAAACAGCCGAAGTTCTAAAACTGACATTGAGGTTCTCATTACTTTATATGCTAATGTAAATTTTAAACACGTTGTATTGATTCGGAGGTATTTTACGTTACTGTTACACAACTGTGCTCCCTAACAGCAGAATCTAAATGGGCATCCTTAAATGAGAGGCTTTCTCTCTTTTCTCTTTTTCTTTATCATGTAAAATCATTTGTTTTAATTACAAGGTACAGCTATGAGAAGCTATGAGAATCTCTGCTTTTTAATGCAATTGCTTTGAACAATTCTGAGCAAAAAGATCTATTTCTGAATCTGTTGTTTCAGAGTATTGAACGTTTAAATTCAAATACAAAGGGACTTCAAAAACTACAAGTTTACTTTGGCACAAAAATATTTTAAGTAGGTTTTTTTTTTTTTT